ACAATTAAAACCGCCAGTAGGTGGCAGCAAGTGACTGTTAATGAGTGAGTCATTGAGCTTCAACAGATTCGTTCAAATGGCTTATTCATTCAGGAACAAAGCATCTGACTGTCCCTGCGTCCCAATGTTCATACTATCCATCCTAAATAGTACGTGAGATTAGAATAAGTGTGTCCCAAAGCATAGTATGTTGAAAAGAGTATGCCAAAAGTCCCCGGATGGTCTACTATTTCAGGTCGATTGTTGAAGTGTGGATCTGTGCACACTCTAATGGCTAATACTGCCCACAATCCATTGCGCTTTGTTGAAGGATTCTGTCCAGAACTACAAACACGAATAAAACGCGTTAAAAACTACAAACACCAGCACGGATCAGCTCTAGGCATGACGAAGCAGATATCGTCCTCTTTTGGAAGGCTTGTAACACTCCAAAGAGAAAGGACAACTTGAAATCGCATCATATGACCCCTTTAAAGACTCAGGTGTGTGACGTGATAGTGTATCCCAAAGCTTGCCTACTCTTACACACTCAAAAGTGTGTACTTTTTCTTCACCAAAAGAGTGCATACTTTAAGGGCGTAGTATAAGTAGGCACATTGAGACGCAGCAAGAGTTTTTATTTTGACTTTTGCAAAACCAAAGTCGGCTTATTTGGGCCAAATGTTTTTCATAAAATACATATAATATTTCAGAAGAGCTAAACGTCTATTTTTAAACAATGTGCCATTAATAGACGCTCTGTAATGGTCTGTGTTTTCCTGACAGCAAAACAAAACAGCGAACGTGTGTAGACGTCATCGCCTCTGTGCGCTCTACGTCTGTTGCGCTCGCCCGTGACGTCACCGCGCTCGAGTGGGAGTCGAGTCTTCTCCGGAATCGTTTGCTTTCATTTCTGCACGAGCTCGTCTCGCGCCGTTTCCTACTCTTCCCTTCGAACCAAAACAAACGTCGCCCGAGGCGCTTCGGTCGCTCGTTTCCCCGCACCGCTGAGGGATTATTCGGTGTTTTCTGCGAAAAGGCGGCCAGCAAAGCCAGAAAAAAGATGAGTGTGGAGGCGTACGGGCCGAGCTCGCAGACGCTCACCTTCCTGGACACGGAGGAAGCGGAGCTGCTCGGGGCCGACACGCAGGGCTCCGAGTTCGAGTTCACCGACTTCACGCTGCCCAGCCAGACCCAAACGCAGGGCCAGACCCAGAGCCAACTCGACAACCAGGTATAAACACACAAAACACACAATCGAGCCTTTCTGTCAGGCAGCCCTCAACGCGTTTGAGTCCAAATATGGCGAGCTAGCAGGCGCTAGCCGCGCGGTAGCGTTAGCAACGACAGAGCAGGCCGCCAAAAGAGAGAGAGAGAGTTGTAAGAGGGACTTTTGTGAACTACAATAGTGTACAAATACAAATTTAATTTGCTTATAAATTAAACCACATGTAATAGCTCTTATGTTGCTATCGATGCTGAAATACGTTACGTCAAATAGCTTGTTTTGGTTGGTTAGCTGCAGATCTCAGGTGTATTTGCGTACTTTCAGAGGGACTTTTGTGAACTACCTTAGTGTCTTGTTAAATTTTAATTTGCTAATAAATACACTAGCTCTAAGGTTGTGATTGATGATGGATGTGTTACGACAAATAGCTTGTTTTGGTTGGTTGGCATAACAGATCTCAGGTGTATTTGCGTACTTTCAGAGGGACTTTTGTGAACTACGTTGGTGTTAATAATAAACTAATTTTCTTATAATATTAAACAGCATGTTATAACCGCTTATTCTCAGAGATGTGGTTTTGTTACAGATAGCTTGTGTTAGTTGCAGCTGACAGGTGTGTTTTTGTTTACTATGTTGATGTTATAATGATGTGATGCAGTGGTGTGTGAGATATTTATTAACTGTTTTGGTGTTATAATAACATGCATCCTATTTGTTTTTTTTAACACGTGTTATATTGTTTATCTCGAAGTTTTATCTCTTTTATGTGTTTCAGAAGGACTTTATTGAACTACACCTGTTTTTAAGAGCATATTTGATTAGAGGGGTTTTGTTTGTATGGTAAATATAACTTGCAGGTGTTTTGGTGTGTTTAAATATAAATTATTTTATTAAATTGTTGTTATGTTTGCTTTAATAATAAGGTGTGTTATCTGCGTTAGCTGCAGCATTCAAACATGTGTTTTCAGACTTTTGTTAAGTATATGCTGCTGAGTAAGTCGGGTTGTTTTAGTAAATCAGGTGTGCATTTGTACTTGATTTAACTGTTGGTGTAAGTTGCAGATGTGTGTGTTTTGAGGGTTAAATGTGCACTGGATTGAATCTCCAGTTTTCACGCTTGTGCAATTTGAGATTTGTTTGTAGAAATGGTGGTGTTAAGGTGAAATGTTTTGTGTTTAGGTGAATGGGCCTGATGGTGTTCTGCCCAATGGAGAAGATGCAGTGGTGAAGACCAGCCAGCTTCTGGCCGAGCTGAACTTTGAGGAGGATGAGGAAGATACTTACTACACTAAAGATCTGCCGGTGCACGCCTGCAGGTACGGATGACACACCTGCCCTGATCTCTCACGCTGTAATCATGTGTCTGTAGCTGTGAGAGAAATAAAATAATGCACGATTCTAGGGCTGTGCAAGAAATTGAAGAAAAATGTGATATGCGATAACTCATTAAATACTGCGATATTCGATATGCGATACGATAATGCTTAAAGTGCCACATGCTGTTGCTGAGTCAGTTCTGTGAACTTCTATAACTAGGGATGTAACGATTCACTCAACTCACGATTCGATTCACGGTTTTGATTTCACGATTTGATTCACTT